CTGTCCCGTGCCCTCCCCTTCCCGATGGCAGTGTTCCCTCGCAACCGCTGGTGACGCAGCTCTGCGGGCACCGCCGCGCCGCGCGCGCTCGCCGCTCTGCGTTCCGGTTGCTCGCTGTGCCAACCCGGCGGAGCGAGGTTTGTTTCCAAACTCCCCTTCTTCTGTTTACTACTTCTTCCTCTGTAACTTGATTTTTCCAATGGAACCATTTTAATTTTAATTTTTGTACTCCAGCCTTTCGGCCACCTGTTAGGATTAGGTTGTTAGCATCTTGTTTTGTTAATTAATGTCCTCGTCGCTGGGGGGAGGGAGGAAGGGGACCAGGAGAGCTGTAGCAAGTCTTGTATGAAACATATGGCCACTTTACCTTCTAGCCAAGGATTCGCTTTCTGTAGCTCATGGAAGTTCATTATGTCTTATCCATATTCCAAGCAATTAATTCTTTGGTTTTATATTAAAAAAAAAAAAAAAGTCTTAGATATTTGTGTCCACTGTGGATTTATTTTAAATGGAATATGTAAGTACCATGTATTATGGTATTTTTAAATAATCTATTGCCTATTTCAGGGGAGGGGGAGATGACAAATATTTAGTCTTAGATTTGCACTGCTGGATTTTTTTAAGTGTAACCTTGACTGGTTATCCTATTGTTTTATTCTGTAAGACTAGTCTTATGAATTAAAGTTTGATAATTAAGTATTTCTGCGTTTGAGTGTTTCAACATTCTGTACGTACTAAGCTACTTCCGACCGCATGAACAACTGTTAGCAAATGGTTTGTAGTTATTTTCTTTGTAGAAAGGCGAATGCAGGCAGAAATCCGTGGGAACCCGTGCTCGTTGTCACGTCTGATGCCATCGATGCCGTTCTCCCAGGGTGGGGACTCGGGTGTACCGCTGCCGTGTATCGCTTCGTATGAAAAGGCTGTGAATTACAGGACAATTCTCTGCTCCCTCTCCAGAACCAGGGTTTAATCTTGTTTTAAACTGTGGATGTCCTTGCCGTGCCGGGCGTGCTCGCTCGAAGTTATGCGTGTAGGCAGCTTGCTGTGATTTCTGTGTAACGGCCCACAAAAAGCAGGTGCTCAGGGGCAGCCTGCTGTCTTGGGGCTTACAGCAGGCGCGGCTTTTTAACGCTTAACCCACGCTGCTGGTGTTGATACTGGCTTTAGAAACTTTCTCTCCGGCGGCCCATTAAAAAAAAAAAAAAAAAAAAGTCTCAGGTAGTTCAAAACATCTGATATATGTCCACCTAACGTGTGCAAACTGGCAAGTTCTCGTTCAGTTTAATATCTAGGTCTGCCCTAACTGCGAGGGGCAATATAACGTTCATGGAGCGCGGGGGAGTCGAGTCCTCCTGAAAATCCCTTTCGCCTCCAGTTTGTCTTTTTGGAAAGAGCTCTTTTATAAGCACCTGCGCCCTGCTCTTTCCTGAAATGAATCTAAAGGTTGTTGGAGGGGGGCTGGTGTGCAAGGCGCCCGGGAAGAGCCCTCCGCTTCCCGCACGGCCGGGTGCCGCGGCGGGGCCGGTGGGAGCCCGGTGCCG